TAGATGTAACACATATTAATTGATAAAAGATTACAGAGGTAACTGTAATATACTTGGAGTGAGCACTGTGCACCTGTATTATCTTAGAAAATACTTAAGACTTTCCCAGTCGACTAGTAGTCGTTAGATAAAGCCAACAGTTGGCTAATTGTTGCAGTTTTATATTTATTTATATATTTATTCGTGCAAGATATGCGATTAATGTTAAGACAGGAATACATGTGAGAAATGACAAGGCAACAACAATGACAGCTACTGGAGTGACAACCAAAAATATATGAACAAGTCAGGACAGCTGGCTTAGTCCAGGATTTCTTTGTCTCTTTTCATACTGCACATTTATGATATTAATTACATTAATTAAATATATATTTGAACAGGAGACTGAACATTTAGTTAATTTATGTTAACACTGTGTACCATCACAGTCTGGTTGTTCAAAACACGGAATAAATAACTTCCAACTTCACTAAAATGAACACTGATCAATAAGACTCCCGCACCGGGTAGGGCACCTGGCGGGGAGCCCGCAAAAAACTAGTAAAATTGTACATCACAAAATTCAGTTAATGTTCTTCATGCACATATATCTGAACATCAAGCATTGTTAAGATTGAGGAAGTCTTCTCCGATGTCAATGTTTCTCAGTGTGCTCAGGTCAACGTCGCTCTTCTTCCTTGGAGTTCTTCAAATGGAAGATCCATGTTTAAAAATCACAACATCTCAGTTCAGAAATTGGAGTCAAAATCAAATACTGAAAATGTTCGACAGTATAGGTAAAGTACAGTAAAGTTTCTATATGTAATATTCTGAAGCATTTTCCGTTATGTATTAATCACTTGTGTGAACGGGTTGTAGCATAACTTCTCATCTTGCTCCGCTGCCTGTGAAATGATTTATATGTGCTTCTATGTAGAGATGGAAACTAATAAAATGAACCTACAGTAGAGAATTTATTTTGAGAATTTCACTTTAAGATGTTGAAAAGAAACATGGTGATGACTGCTCTCACCCAGTTCACTGGCTGCTTCCCTGATGTCCCGCATTGCCTCCAGAACTTCCTGTTTCAGAGACAATGTGTTGGCATCAATAACAGAAACCAGGACATGCACTTTGTCATTGGCAGTTGGGTGTGAGTTGTAGCATTGATCATCCTTCGATAACATACATTCAGGACTGAACTGAAAACAAAGTCACATCTAGTCAAAGGATGATTTTCGCTCTTTAAACTAAATAATGTCAGTTTAAAACGTTCAGTAAGTTTTTACCTTGTGACCTCCCTCCACCCGACTGATTTCTTTCAGATGGAACTCCACGTTGTTCTTGTTGTTTTTGCCGTTTAATCCTTTTCATTACATCTTGTGAGTTTTGTGCTGTTGAGAAAAAACAGTATTATTACACTCTTTCTGATTCAACTTGCACAAACAGACTTTCTGCTGTGATTACCTGAGACCTCGCCCAGTTTGAGCCAAGTTCGGGCTCAGTGTTAAGTGTTTAATATCTGAGTCTTGGGTGTATTCTTGCTTCGTCGCCTGTATAAATGTCACCCTGACACAAGATCTGTCGCTACTGCTGGTTTTAAGCGCTGTCCAACAGATCTTATATGATAGTTTGTTGCAGCCAGCAGATGTGACATACTTTGAGTCGAGCTCCTCTCATTGGCTTCAAAGTTTCAACTCATCTGTAGCAGGAAACAATGGCGGCTCACCTGCTCACACAGGATCTGGTGTGACCAGATAAACAGTGAAATGTGTTTGTAAACAGATTTGAGGAGAGAAATAGTCAAAGCAGCAACAGAATCTGGATCCATATCTGATCAGCACTGCCTAGTTTGACAGTGTTGAGCTGGACGGACTCACTGAGAATGAGCTGTCAATCACAAGGTAGCCACGCCCTAAAGCATACCCTGCTTTATCGCCTTTTTTTTTGTGGCTTTTTTTATGCCTTTATTTGACAGGACAGCTGGAGACAGACAGGAAAGGG